AGCCGGGACAGCCACTATTGAGGCTCCAATTCCAAGGACAAACTACTGCAGAATCCTAACAAGAGATGGGGAACGGCGGCCGGTGAAAGGTAAATCATTCTTCAAAAATCGAATTGGTTGAAAGAAAAAGAAAAGAACACAATCAATCAGACAAAATGGTCAGGAAAAATACGAGCGAAATGTGACTTTCACTTTCTATACTCTTTTAACATAGCTGGGCGGTGCTATCCAAATCGACTAAGTGAGGAACAAATAACACCGAGGGTACAACTTGGCGACCAGATTCAATCTCATGTGTGCACGGGCTATGCTTCGTATTCAGGCCTCTGCGGCGCGCTTGTTATCTCGATCGACTTTTGTGCCCTTTCTGACATATAGACAATATGTAGCATATATCTTCCAATATGCGTCCGCGCTTACGAACAGCACAAATTTGGACGCGTTTCCCTCCAGGCTTGTAACACCAATTTATTACCAAAATATCTTTAACAAAATGAGCACCAACAATATAATGCACCTTCTTGATCAGATCAGCGAATCCGCACCGGGTCTCACATACCACAACTTTCGTCCATACTAAGGGATTTTCGGGAATGAAAAAAGCTCCGAAACTCGGAGACAAGACCTACGGGCCATTGCTCCGAAAGTCTTCTATATTGATTCAGACTGCGGAGCAAGTACAGATCGACGTGGTTGACTGGTAAATCGAGGGTTGGTTGGCAACTGGTAGCGGGGCTGTGGATTGCATGGGTGCTAAAGATAGGTTCGTGGGAGATTCCCAGTCTGCCGCACTACACCTGCTCCCAACCTTGAATCCATTGTTCAATATACAGGACGAGTTGTCTACGTGCTGATTGAAGAAGGTGACCCGGCCGTTCCGTTCCACTTCAATCGACGCGGCTGGTAGACCACCTTCCGTGCCGCAAGCGTCCACAAACATGTGGGAGTCTTGACGGGAGGCATCGATAATTTTGCTCAATTCTGGAAGCTTGTTAGCGTTATGCCGATTCTCCTACCAAATAAATACCTACCTGAACAGTCACTTCCGTTGAGCGGCCAAGGGATGCAGAATGTCCGTGCAACCGTGGTTATCATTAGACCATACCAGGCATTGATTGTCAAAATCAATAACCTCAAGAGTGCCACCAAAGGAGCCCCATGCATAGATAATAGCGAGAAGCACAAAAATAGAGAAGCGCATTTTGTTGTTGAGCTTTGAGAGACAAAAGAAATTGCGGTTAAGACTGAGGGTATTGTTTTGGGGTTGTCTGAATCACAGTGTGGATCAAGTCCACGGCGTCTCCACGGAGCTTTGAAACAATTTCTACGTTCGTTCTAGCTTCAATCTGAGGGAATCTCGTAGTATTGGGAAATGCGCGTCACCATCGCTTCCGGTGCGGGCTGAGTCACACTCCTGGCCTTTCTTCGCAGATCATCTCGCGTACCATAGATCCTCAAGAAAGGCTTTGGAATTTGAGTGGAACTCACCGTTGAACAATCGAAGATTAAACGCTGAAAAGACTTCACTTGTCACAGTTGCGAGTCAACTCGCACCTCACCACCTCGCTATCTCACCATCTCACCATCTCACCCCCATACGATAAGGTTCCACTGATTAATATTCTCTTTTGAAGAATTTGGGTATACCTGAAAAATCCAATGAAAAAATGGGTCAGAAAGTGAACCAGTGGAATTCAGTTCTGTGGACTCGAGCTATCGAGTTAACTATAGTTACTATTAGGGAGCACGATCTAATCGATTTCCGCTCCTCGCTTCCAAAAAAGGCTCGCGGAGACTTTGTGAGTCCCAGTGAGTCCCAAAAGCCTGTGTCACGATCACTCCATTACATCACTCTGTCAATATTATCTCGCACTCAATCCCACGTCATGAAGTCCATTATTTCTCCAGTCGTGCTAGCTAGTGTATCCTTGGCCCAGAATTCTATCATCGGCCTTCCTACCACCGGTTATACAGTGACCAAAGGTAGCAACGTGACCGTCCAGGTTCAACGCCTTGTATGTTGCTCTTATGCAAATTTGAAAGCCAAAAGTGAAATAAATCTAACACGTGCATTAGAACTCCTTGACTGGCTCTACCGAGATTGCTGTTGTAATTGGGGTTTCCTCCTGTGTATCTATTGCTTGTCGACCAGCGGGCGAGGTCATGGGTACTATTCTTTACCAGGGCCCTTTCGACCCGCAGCACCACGAATCGAGCCAGCCTCCCTATCAGAACTTTACGGTCACACTTCCTAACTTGATCGCAGCTGGTAATGCACAAATCAATGTTGCCCGTGCGGCTCTTGTCGGAGTAAGTGAAGTCTGACATAGTGGGGTACCTTCCTTCTGGTGTTAAGTTGCTAATCCATTAATCGAAGGCTGGGCCTTTCCCCTACTTGGAGACTATGAACCGTACCGTGGTGGTAGTCTAAGCAGTTCGAGAAGCGCTTTTCTGGTAACGATTCCGACTGCGATATAGTGTTCTTGGTCGCATTTTTGTACCTAAGCAAGCTAAACTGTATCAGTTACTCTGAATTATAGTCTCTGAGATCAAACGAAATCTATTCAATATGACTGAGTGAGTGCACTATTGTAACGGAAAACTTAAAAACAAAATAGTTGCGCTTGGGAAGGGAATATATCTACGAGCGTCACCGCTACGGATTGAGACTCCATTCTTGTGATAGAGTCTGTCGAATATATGATGGGCTAGTCTGGCCAGCTGACTACTAGTCACAATGCTGTTGTTGCATATCCAGATAAGCCCAAGATTTTTTGAATGAGAATCCAGTATAACCAAGATAGCGAATCAATTAGTTATACCCTCAACTATTTATAAGTAGTTTGTTGCTTGCTTAGATTGACTTCTTGGAGTAAGCATCTGTTCGCAGATTGAAATATCTGCAAAGGACAAGCAGGATGCCACATTGCTACTTATGTGAGACACGCTAATGTGAATCGATTTTATGGCCTATGTGGCCCCAGGAGCTCCTACGCGGCTTTTGGACCTCAACCTATCCCTTGAGACTTATTTCCTAGAATCACGACGGGCGTTCCTGTGAGTGGATCTCTCGGGCCCTGGGAATTCATAAGCTCCTGGGAGCCTCCCGTTTGCCTCTAGAGATCCATAGAATAGCACGTTAGCCTGAATCAGAGACCTAGGCTGATGCATCAGAAACTGAACAAACGATATAAAAGCGACCATTCCTTCCACCGATACGTTTTCAGGTCTATTTGACTACCATTTGGAATCTTGACGTTTGTCCTTGGTATGCGTTTGATATCCAAGCAAACGACGCTCAGTCTCGGATCCAAGACCCCAAGATGCTGTTTCGGCTTCCCGCAGAAATCCTTCTCTACCTTGCAGATTTCTTGCATTCATCACGGGATTTGCTTGCGATGGCACTTGTGAATAGATTTTCGAGAGACGTCTTCCTCCCGTGTCTCTACGCCTTCAATGTTCGCCATCAGCGTAGCTCTGCCTTGACCTGGGCCGCTCAACACAACCAAATCGGTCTGGCGAATCGAATGCTAAAGGAACATCGAGGAAATGCCAACACGCAAGATTATAGATCCCGCACGCCTATATTTCACGCCATTCAAATCAGAAGTGAAGAAATGATCCGAACTCTTCTGGAAAGCGCGGCAGATATCAACTGGCAAGATGACCAACAGCAGACCCCCCTACTGTACGCTCTGCAGCGGGGACGCCTGTCTATGGCGCGCATTTTATTGCGATATTTCCATCCATCAGTGGATTGTATGGATTTCAAGGATCGAAATGCCATCTGGTATGCTGTCGCCAATTGCGATGAGGATTTGGTGCGACTTCTCTTGGAACTGCAAAGCGACATATGGATGATGGACTGCCGACGGACCACCCCTCTCAACCTGGCAATTTCCAAACGGAATTTGCCCATCACCCAAATGCTGCTTCATCACGCAGAAGCTTATCCTTCACAACCTCGACTGGTGGACGTGAATGCCGGAGATCATCCGCTTTGCTTAGCCGTCGACGCCGGTCTGAAAGAAATCGCTCAATCCCTGATTATCTATGGTGCAGATCTCCATGTCACGGACAGATACGGCCAGCCCTTGTTGCACCAAGCCGCCAGCAACGGGCATGATGACGTCATCCGACTGTTGCTGAGCCATGGAGTCGATGTCAAGAGTACCGACCCAGGGGGCCACACAGCACTGCATTTCGCTGCATTTTATGGGCACAAGTCAACCACAAAACTACTTTTGAGCACGCCTGGAATTGACATTGCTGTTTCGGACAGCGAAGGAGCTACAGCTCTCTGTGCAGCCGCTCGTGGAAACCATGGATCAGTCGCATTGCAGATCTTGGCCGAGGAACCACCCAATGTCAATGCACGCTGCCTTGGCCAAAAGACTGCTCTTCACTTTGCGGTTGAAAATAGAAACATTCTCCTCGCTTGTGCGCTTGTGGACTTGGATTCACTGGACCCAAACATCTGCGATGACCAGGGGTGGGCGGCCCTCAGCTACGCGGCGGCTCAGGGCGATCTGCGGATGTTGGAACTCCTCCTTACGAGGTCCGATCTGGATTTGAATGTGTCACGAGCATCTCCTTTCTACCTGGCTGCCGAAAGGGGGCATTTGCAAGTTGTACGCCGACTTGTCTCCCTTGACGAGGTTGATATCAATCAGACTGTCTGGCACAAGTCTCCCCTATTTATTGCGATCGAAAATGGCTACCGTGGTGTTGCAAAGTTGCTTCTTGAGGAAGGGTCTCGACTGGATGTTAATGCAAAGACCGCTCTTGGGGATACCGCACTGCACATGGCTGTCTCCTATGGGAATCTGGATATTGTGGAGCTATTGCTCAAGGACGATCGACTAGATGTCACGGGTCCTAATCGATATGGAGAGTCAGCCCTGGAGCTGGCAGCCCGTAATGGGAAGGAGCCCGTTGTCAGGCGTCTTTGCCGCGACCGCCGAGCAAGAAATGTTTGCCACTTCCGGAGTGCTATGGAAGCTACATCGAATATCCGGATTCTTTATTTTCTTCAGGGGCAGTTGATGAGACATGGCGTGGAACACGGTGTCCGTCGGTCAGCTCGACTTGCCAGAGGATCGTCCCAGCTGGCGGCGTCTAGCACGTCGCCATCGCTTCGCCGGTCAACACGCATGTCACAACCGCGCCTTGGCAGATCTTAGATGACGGATCCAGGTTGGCGTGGATTTTGGATAAACTGATAGGATTTTGAAGGGGATGTTCCATAGGTCACTCGTAACACCTCTGCATGTGCGGCAAATGCAAATGGTAGAATGCGGTCACCCGGAAATTTTAGAATGAGAATCCAGTCGAGAGCCACTGTTCGGGGACCAAGCTCCTGCAATTAGGTATGCTAATCAAGATGAGTGGTGGTCTAGGTGGATTATACGTACAGAATTAGCATGGTTTCTGCGTTGTCATGACCGATAACTCTTCATCTTTCTTCACCAAACCGTTGAAAGATCTGTCCCTATGCCCCTGAATTGATCTTTCCTCCCCTAATTCTGCTCCTCGGCCTTCCTTCAAATGTAGTAGAATATATTTAGAGATATAAAATAGTCTACACGGCGTAATACTGCTGCCCGGTACCCTTTTCTTCTAGAGCAGCTTTCGCTAGACTATCTGCCATCGCGTTCCGTTCTCGAGGCACCATCCAAAATTTGACGGAGATATGCTGTTCAAGCTGTTCAATCAGCCGCTCAATCCGTTGGAAATGGGTAGAATTCGCGACTGGAGAGCCCTTGGCATTCTTCCAGCCATTTTTCTTCCACTTCTGGAGCCACTCAGTCAGGCCCCGCACCACGTACTCGGAATCAGACTTGATTATAATTGCACTAAGGCGATCGTCTGCCATGTCCCACTCTGCCTGTATAATGATTGCATCAGATAGAGCTCTCGAGCAAGCCTCCAGTTCGGCTATCTGGTTTGTGTGACGGTCAAAGCTGTCTAAAGTATAGGAGATGTTGAAGTCGTTGTCGTAGCCATGGAATACCCCAATTGCCGAACGCGCGTCGTCCTTGCCATTGTTCGAACATGCCCCATCAATCGCAATTACAAGACAGTCATTGTGGACCACGTGTGCGTTACAATGGGGGCACTTTCGCTTTGATCCGGGGCATGCAAGATAGATGCGGTCTCCCGTCGGAACCTCAATGTCGTCTTGGCTGAAGTGGTGAGGGTATATATTTTCAGGGTGAAATTGGCGGCCGGGAGTCAAGTCGATATCTGGAGGCGGTGGTGGGGATGAGACAGATGAACGGCCGTCTTGGCTGAGGAGAGAGCCTGGGCTATGAGCAGAGGAACTATGCGTCTCTTCCACATGGTTAGAACCCTGATCGTCCTGTGCTGAGTTAGTATTGAACTGTGTGAAAAGAAACTAACAAAAAGGAGGGCCATTAGCTGGGTGGAGGTACAGTTTCAGGGTTGCCAAGAAAATCCATCAATGTGCCCAACCTTACCTTGCTAGCATTGGGGTTCTCTCTTCTCCTATATCGTCTCTGCATCCTGCTTGGTCTCTGGAGGAGGCACGTCGGTATTATAGGAGTTGTGGAAAAGGCGGGGCTGGACAATGGCAGCAGGCTGTTTGGCGTTGGAACTTCCAATTAATATGGGTACCCGTGGCATGGACCCCTGGTCGCACCCCATCTGAATGGGTCACCTCAGCTAAACCGTGTTCTGCCTGAGGTGACACGAAAGAGTCGGAAACTGCTTAGTAAATCATACTGCGCCCAATCGGATATCAACATGTCTGAATTGCTATAAAGCCCCTTTCTGGCAATTTATGTGGGCATAATAATGACTAATACAAATGGGAGATAGTAACTATCTCCGTTCTCCGTTCTCCACTGCTGCTACTGTTCCGACAGAAAGCTTTCGGAATGGTTTGGAGGTCATGGGCGTTAGGTGGTCCGAGCGTCGGACGGCCGGGTGGTTCTCCCGATGGTGGATCTCCCGACTTAGTGCCTTTTACGAGCAGTCACGCAGGTTGGATTCGGTCCTCTTCACGCAAAGACTTATGCTGATTCCATGGCACCTATAGATTACTCGAAATGGGACAACATAGACACGGATTCCGAGCCAGAGACGTCGTCACCGGCGGCTGCGCCAAAAGCAACCCTGCCACCTGCTCCAGCCTCCTTGCTCTCGTCTATATCCACTTCGATGGCAACTGACGGCGCTTCGGCGCCCATTCAAGCTGTCGTCGTCCGGTGTGAGGCCGAGAAAGTCAAAGATCCGCCTTGGTCCACCACCAGAATCCCCGCAAATCATGACGTTTTCTCCCGGACCGTTCCTCCCGTCCCAGGGCTCATCGAAGTCCCGCTGGTTCTCCATCAACTAGGCACTCGATCTGCCAACCGTGCCGACCTGGACAACCAGATCGCTACGTACCTTAACATCAACCCCGACTCGGGCTTCGCGCCTCCGGCATGGCAATCACATGTCGGCACCATCATAGTCGCGCGCAAGGACAGGAAGCCATTACTACCGCAGCATCTTGAGGGCGTGTGGATTTACTGCGACCACATTCTGGACCTCTTTGGTGAGGGAGGAGGTGCGCCAAGATGGCTGTATAATCGGCAGGCCTTTGGGAAGTGGTGGGCAGGTTATTGCGAGGAGCAGAAGGAGTTTCGCTTGGGAAAGGGTGGGGAGGAGGATCCGGATGATTGGCAGGCGGTAAGGTCGCCATATGAGATCTGAGACTCCATCTAATATAAGGTTCGGTTTGCGTTCTGAATCACAAAACTGTTGTTGTCTCGCTTTGCTTGTCCGCTAATTCTCCTTGAAATGGTACCGGGTTAGACTTCCGAGTCAGAGGACTGCATGGGTAAATTAGTGTCAGTTCTAGGTGCTGCAAGATCGCCAAGGTCGGCGGTGTTTGAGTGATTTCAGACTTCAGAATGGGCCAAAAGGTCAAACTATCTTCAGAACGATCTGTCTCATGTTTCTACGGATTCGCTGCCCCAGCCCTCATGTAATCGTCTGGTTTCCGCCGACAGGTTCCTGAGTCTCTGCATGCCATCAACTATGGTCCGATCCTGCTTGTTGCCGATGAAATATTGGTGTTGTATAGGGCTGAGAATCTTGATGCCTCGGAGCGTCTTGCGCCTGCGCAGCTGCACAGCTGCACCCTTTTCGCACCCCTCTACCCCAAATGATCGAATATTCACAACTCCAGAAGAACCTCCAGTGGAGGTGTATCAAACAACTACTGCAGATAATGATTGATAAATTATTCTGCGGGGACGAGAAGTACTTGCAACGGAGGCCTGTGAGGTCTACTGCCGAGCTGAGAGAGCTTAGCGGGCGCAGATCATCTCTATGGCTAGTCTCACAGAGGCCTGGAACAGCTACTATCGGACAATTCGACACTCAAAACGGGATTTCTGAGAGGCCTTCTTAAGAGGACTTATAGACAGTCCAGATCAACCGACCGTATCGCTGAGCCCGTGGGCACCGGTTCCGGGTCCACATGTACGTGTCTCGCAACGCAGTTAACTCCGGTATCCACCACCGTTTACTGTATGGGGACTGTTGAGCCACTGGGACAAGTTGGCGGCTAGCTAGGCTGACCTTGCTCGTCAAGCGCCCAACCGTTGCGTCCAGTTCCGAGCAGCTTGTGATATTTATTATCTCTGTCTCTAGGCATTTTAACTCCCTGTTGATGTCGGCCCGTGGAGCCTCGGGAATAAGAACTGGGGTGTCGGAGGAGGCGTGGGTCGCGATATGGCCCGGAAGGTCGTTTCAATTGCACGGTGGTCTGACCCACGTTCTACGGGGTGGATGCGACGCTGTGTGAAACCCCTTGTCATTGCCTCCCACGGCACGGTTGGTGTCCGGAGTGTGGTCCAGCGTGCTGCGGTCAATGACCTTGTTGCGCTGGCTCCAGATCGCACCCGGCTTGGCGGTAGTACTGGCCGGGGTTGCCAGCCGCACCCCAGGCTGCGCTTGCTCGTCACCATTGTCCTTCCTGGACGCGTCCAGGAAGGACGCGTCCACAATCAAACTGACGTTCTTCTGATACTTGTAGACGGTCCAGTCGAAGACGTGGTCGTACTGCAGGGACTCGCGGACGAAGAGGTCACGGAACAACTTGCGCAGGTACATGTAGTCAGGCTTGTCGTCGAAGCGGAGCGACCGAGCGTAGTTCAGGTAGACGGCGAACTCTTTGGGAAACCCACGGCAGAGAACCTCGGTTGGGGTGGACATCTTCTTCTCCATAATGCGGTCGTACTTCTGCTTCTTCGTAGCTGCATTCAGACCCTGCCAAGGTAGGTAGCCGCGGCAGAAGTAGAGCATCACGTAGCCGAGTGACTCCATGTCGTCACGGCGCGACTGCTCGACACCCAGGTGGGAGTTGATACTGGCGTAACGGACAGTACCCGTAAGGTTCTTGTTCTCACGGTAGGGAATGTGAGAGTGAGTCCTGGGGTCACGGTACCTCTTGGACAGTCCGAAATCGATCACATTGACCTGGTGACCACGCTTGCCGATACCCATTAGGAAGTTGTCGGGCTTGATATCACGGTGGATGAACGACCTGGCGTGGATGTACTCAATGCGGGATATGAGCTGATCGGCGAGAAGCAGGACGGTCTTGAGTGAGAACCTGCGGTTGCAAAAGTTGAACAGGTCCTCCAGACTGGGACCTAGGAGATCAATCACCATGGCATTGTAGTCACATTCGGTACCGAACCAACGGACTAAGGGAATACCGATACCGCCAGCGAGAGATTTGTAGACACGGGCTTCGTATGCCAGCTGAGGGTACTTCGCTTTGACGTTCTCGAGCTTGATAGCAATCTCCTCACCGGAGATAATGTGGGTGCCTAGGTAGATGTCACCAAAGCTGCCGCCACCGATCTTGCGCCCGATGCGGTACTTGTTACCGACACACACATCTGTTGTCGTCATCTTGAATTGAAATGAACCGGGAGGCAGAGCCCCCAGCTGTGCGAGTGGCTGGAAATTGAGAAAGCAAGCGAGACAATGCCGATCAAAGGCCCCACTGGATAATGGGGCAGAGAGGCGGGAGATTGATGATTGGGACAGCTCCGAAGAGAATAGAAAAGCTGGAGAGAAAAGAAGGCCAAATATCAAGGAAAACCCCCGCGAGGTAAGAGGGTGGTTTTGGCCTTTGCATGACGCAGTATTAGCGATGGCTCTGGTGGTCCAGGGGGGGGGATTGGAACTAGTGGACGAGGCGCCAATTCAGCCACGCTAACCCGATTGGGCTGCGATATCAGCCCGATTCGGATGTGCTTGTTTTGTTGCAGATGTATGCAGAAGGTACTTTGGGTTTTCATCGCTGTCTTTATTTTCAGGACCATTGGGATCGACGAAGGAGGGTTGGGAGATGACCTGAACGTCGTTGCGGTCTTTGTCAGATCGCCGGTGGCTCACCGCGGAACCGAGATCAACAGAGCTGGCTACCTCGTCGAGTCGTCGGCCATTATCCCATCCCGCTGGGTGAGCCAAGGCACATCCGTTGATCTCTGCCCGAAGCGCTCGCGCTTGATTGCGTTTGTAAGCGTATTGGTCATATTTAACTTCCAGGATGTGTGGTTTCGTGCATTCGATCACGCCGGGTTTGTTGGTATCATCGATGAGTTGTCCCAGTTCCCTCATTGTCGTCTTGAGCCTGAAACAGGCCTCCCAGCGTGCAGTGGTAACGATTTATCTCCATGGTGCGGCCTACTTCCCTTGCGAACGATTCGAGAAGCGACCGATGGTTCAAAGATCACTGAAAGTATTTTCGTCGCTTTGGTGTTTGTGAGAGGCTCGAAACCCACGTGGCAGACGATATCAACCACTGTCCCCGATTTGAAGATTTTGGCCTTTATTTCTTGGTTCTAGTTGCAGTCAGTCGGCTTGCTTGCAACACTCTTTGAGATCCGGGACTTTGAGTGGCACTAACCAAATCACAACCCATTCAAAGATCCATCGCCAGTCCCGTTTTGAAAGGAGGTATTGCTATCGTGCTTGCAAAAGAGCATGTAGCTTGCTTCACCTGCCATGGAGACATCTGAATACACCAACCCATCACATACGTAGAGTACTTGTAATATAGCCGAAGCGGAGGATGGGCGGGCTTGTCGTCATTTTGAGACCCTTCTTAGGGTGGGCATGAGGTAATTAGCCCATCTGTCGGGGGAAATTGGGAGCTAGTGCTGACCATTGATCTGTTCACGATAAAGATTGTCAGGCTGGAATATCTGACACAGATCATCAGCAAGTGGTAAAAGTAGTCATTGTAAGACACACATTCTCATGACTAGCCACGGGCTTGATTAGGTGAATGTGCAAAATGCCCACTCCAGTCATTGGGAATGCCGAAGAGGTATCTAAGAAATTCGTAGCATCTTCAATGTCAGTACAATATCAAAATATTAGGGCGGCGGTGCACATACATACAATAGGTGATTATGGCTATGGTACTGTAGCGGCGGTGGAGGCTGGGGCTAGGTCAGCTCATCCAGAATCAAAGAAGAGAAGCGTTCGTACAAAAGAGATATCGTAACCACCTAGTCTCATCAAATACCGGCTGACATTAGTGTCCAGCACTGACGACGCCTGCAGTAGCCTAGAAAGGCACGGCCAAGGTCATGCTAGACCGTAATCTTTGTGATTCATGCCAGCGAGATCTGGGCAGGAAAACTTCTCGTGGGCGAGAGTAACCGTGATTGGTTTTATTCAAGATTCCTCCTGAGCAGAAGGTGGTATTTATAGACATTTCGCCTACCCCTTCCCTCATATTCCCGTCCTTCATACGCTAGTGACCAAACGTTGATGAATTCATGCCACTGTGCACTCGCAGTGTAACTCTCATCATGGCGTTTTTGGAGAAGGTTCACGCTTAGATAGGCTTGATAGGATTCTCAGGTATCCTTGGTACAACTTAGAGTGGTGTGTCACCTCTCGCCGGTATTTTGAAGCCAGACCATCATTTTGTCGATTGAGCCTTCGTGTCTCATTTATTGTATCCGGCCACGGTTCACCATTGACTCAACAAATACATTCCATATTCCTCCAATTTGAGTGACGCTTAGAGTGCTAAACTTTAAATTGTCACCGAGAGAAGCCAAAGTCATGTTAAACAGCCGTAGTGAGTTTATTGACATGTCAGCGTTTAAAATTTTAACTGACGAACAAGTTTTCACGGGTTCCAGGTCAAGACCGCGAAGTTCCTTCACATCTATTGGACTATGATCAATGAAATTCTGGGAGCTTCAGGGTTTTGTTTACCGATTATTTCTATTCACGGTTCATCGTCGACTCAATAGTCACATCCTTTCAACCCCCGAAAAAGACCCATGATTTTGATCACTTGAACTGATGTTATGGACATTTCGTCCAGTGAACTTAAGCAAAGACCCTCGCTTTACTGTTGGCCTAACGGCAAAATCATCACCAACGCCACATTGTGCCAAGTGTGACAAACACAAAGCTGCGGGCCTATCTTTAGAAGTTATGTAGGTCCACATTCCACTATGTAGGCAGGCATTGGCGGTGCACATTACCGTTGTGCTGGTGAGCAACGGCTACTCAATAGCTGCATTTGCAACAGAACAAGTCACGTTTTTGAGCTGCAGCTTTTGCACTATGTAGATTGTTATAGCTAGTAGGCTAGGGAACAAAAAAAATATTCCGCCCGGTGACATGAATAGTATTCCTCTCATTTTTGGGCTCATTCACTCGTTCGTACAATCTTAGTCTTTGTTGACTTACAGCTGACCTCGGAACCCTTATTGGCAAGTTGCGGTCTCGTTTCCTGCGGGCACTGCAATAGACTCTACCCTGCCTGGGGGATGTCCATTGTGTTTTCGGAGACTTCAAGCTCGGACCGTAATTGGAAATTGTAAATGACCTCGACCACAGTACCAGAGAGGTTCTAGGCAAGGCCACAGGATGGACCGCACCGTTTGGTCTCTTCAGTGCGTTAACACCGGAAGCCGCGAGATGGCATGAATCCATTGTCCCAACAGTCCGGCGAGAAATGTCGCTCTGTGTGAGCGGACTGGGGGCTGATTACGCACTTATTACTCCCCTGACCTTCCTTATGGGTAAACGTAATCATAGGAAGGGCACATCTTCCGTTTGCCATTTCGACTGGTAGGGAAACACAGGTAGAATTACCAGGGCCACAGAGTCCTCTCCCGCTAGGCGAGCGACACTGCCCGCCTGCAGACAGTTATGACCTGCGATAAAATAAAATGCAAATCCACAAATATCAAGGCCGTCCCGCGACAGCTGCGCTTGCTGTGCTCTTTCTTCGAATACCACTATCGGCGCGTTTGGAAGCATCCCGCCGCCCCGCAAAGGAGGTGTAGTGGCTTTTACCTATCCGGTGTGATTTCATAGTGCCCGGGCTGCTCCTCCGCCGCCTATGCCTCTGATTTGCCAACGAGTCGGGTGGTCCGAACCGGCTCCGGTGTAGCGTTGCTGGGCTCTGACGCGGTGAGGATCGCGGTGGAAGCGAACTGGGGTGGTAATCGTCTTCACGGAGGCCGTCTGGGTAAAAAGAGTCATCCGCGAGAATGTTGCGACAAATTGAATCGATATCCCCTTCAATGCATTGTATATGCGAGATGTGTTGCCGTTCCATGCGGATTCGGAAGTGATCTGGTCGGATGATGGTCAAGTTCGGGCAGTCGGGCCTATCGAGAGAGGGGAACTCTAGCGGGATAGTGGTCGGGCTCGAGTTCGAGCAGGGTGAAAGCGATGGATGGCAATGTCTGTTCTCATCGTGACCTACATCTGGTGGCGTCAGAACATCGTCAAAGTATTGGCTGGAAAGCCAGGCCCGATCGTGCCGTGGTCGGCCCTGATCGGAAGTCTCGCCCCCGCTGGGGGCTTGGAGAGTGTGTTCATGCAACCTCTGTGTCAATGTTGAGATCGAGAGACGCTTCGGCTCGTACGGAAAGGGTATAGATGCGAGCGGCTGCTGTTGGGAGCGACAGTTGGTGAACCGGGAGCGTGACGACAGCGGCGAAATCAACATGCTGTTGCAGTCGCCCATCAACCGATCGTCCCCATCGACTGTCAAATGAGTCGGCCGCGACGAGGGCGACGAGGGCGACGGAAAAGAAACGTCCTCGAACATCGTGTCGCAAAAGTGTGAGTGTTGGATTTGGGGTGGAATGGCCTTGCGTGGGCGAAGATCTTTCGAATTATTAGTCTGCACCCGATGTCGCAATGAATCCAAGGCTGCCAGCGCCGATCAGGCAGGGCACTGAGATCTATCGCGGCGCAAGAAATTCCGGCGATTTGCGATTTTCCCCAGAACGAAAAATCTATCTAAATTGTCGAACCCGGTTCATGGGAGATAATACTGCAGGATCAGGAGTGGCTCGATAAGAAAGAGCCCAATGCCATTCTTGGACGATGTTCTCATTTGTTTCGAATTCTGTTGCCATTTATCCAGGGCCAGCGACTTCCGTTCAGTTTCTGCAGTTAAATATGGAACGGACCTCTGCTGACCGACAGCATGGAGATCCTTGTGTTGAAGGAAACTCCACCGCAGATCCCCCCATTTTTCCGCAACAAGTGGGCCTTCATAGGTGGAGAGGTTCAGGCAACGCGATCCCATGGATCGTTCGAATCGGATACAGTACTTAATCTCACTCTGGATACACCTAACCGTAGGCACCGTCAATACGAGTACCCCAGAGCTTATGAAATAAGTCAAAAAATAACTAATATTTCAGCACCCGGCAAATATTCGAGTAGGGTCGCGCTGTGTTAGTATTTATCATCGGCAAGATGCTCAAGCAGGGGGTAAAAGCTGACGGATCATTCCGATCAATGCCCTTCAAAAGCGGGCGTACGACTACGTTCCCGAAGCTGCCGTAAACCTTCTGAATTTATTTTCGTATCAGGGTTGGCGCGGAAAAACCATCCCTGTGCTGTGGCCCCGGGGAAACTATTATACCGTGCCGCGTTGTGGTGATGTCGGCAGGTAACAAGGCATATTCATGAGAGTGCGGAAATAGAATCATAAAAAATCTCTTTTATATTGCACAGCAGAGGTTAAGCTGCGGGAGATACTGATCTGGTCACTATGGGTGTCGAATCGACTACAAGTTCTTATTGCGCTCTTACGACCGCGGCCGCTCCATCTTCCCTCGCGAGTGGAACTTCAACGTTAGTCTCTCCGCATCCCTTGAGTTCGCAAGAAGACAGTGGAGCACCATCGCACATCAAGCAAACGGATTCGGGAGCTAGTATTTCCAGATACATAAAGCCAGACAAGATGTCTGTTTGGTTTTTGGTGTCTTCATCCGACGCTTATTCAACTCAGCACTTTCAGCGTTAGTGTTCTTGCCAGCGAACCGAATTACAAAGAGGTCGATATTAATCATCCAGGTTATGCAGCGAGTGCACCAGGCACCAGTGAACAGTCAACTAAAAGTGTCAGTATTTCACGGAACTTTAAGCAACGTCCCAGTGATACGTACCCAATCTACTGGGTAAAGCCGAAAGTGGGAACCCATCGGAATAACGCAGCAAGAAGCGGGCCCGTTCGATCACACATCATGCGTGAATTTCATCACCTGAAGCCACGCAAAGGGTATTCTACTTTGTATTCTCAAGACAAGTGCTTAAAGCTCCTTGCCCCTAAGAGGCAATCTGTGTCCCCTGATGTTCCTTCAATGCCGGAACTATGATGTGCAACTGTTACGAACTTTCTTTCGTGAAGCTATTCCCGGCCCGGAGGGTTCCACGAAGGAGCAACACCCTACCGCCCGGGGAACTTTGGGTTTTCTCCGGCTGGAAATTACGTTGACGGTTAATACGCCTCGGTGTTGGTCTCTTACTGTTGGGGGGAATTCGATGGTGAGCAATGGAAGGGTTCATGCAACTCAATTATGTGGATCCGGAAGATCGAGCCCGTAGAGGACATTTCCATCCATCGCGAACAAATCCACTTTGCAGTCTGTACTCCGTACCGTGTTATGGAAAGTAAGGAAATATGATCGCCGACCAATCGGTCGAGTTCGGCCAAGCGCATTCCCCTTCACCCGCCAGTTCCCCAGTTTTCACTTAGTGCTCCCGAAAAGAATCCCTTTCTCTTATAGACCTATCGCGACTTTTCCCGATATTTAAGCAACTCTAGGACTGATTCTTTGTGGCTTTCCCCTGAAACCTTAATTGTGTGAGATACCCAAACAGGGCTCTCTTTCATATTTCGTCCCCAGAACGAAGGCTAAGTGTTGTCGGACGTATCTCAACTGGGACCGATATTGTGAAGAGCGTTCCCAAGGCAGGGATTTCTCGAGTCTATAGTCGGATCATTTTCGAGACTTTGCCCGGGTTCAATTGCGCGCATCTGTGTCTCCTGGCTTCCTTTCCGCAGTTCTTCACAATGAGTCAGCACGGCCTTTCCACTTCGTTCCCGGCCATGAATGAAGCCTTGGCCAGTACCACCAGGCAGACCTACACAAAAGCAAAGGGAGCGAGAGAATAAAAACGGCTTCGACTGCCTGCAAAGAGTGCCGAAGACACCGGACACGGGTACGGAATGCATTTTGTTCGTTCTTTCTCGCTTGGGTTGGCCTCATCGCCTGTTTCCTTACTTCTCACCCCTCCTACCAGTGTAGGAATGGACCGCCATGCTCATAATGCCAAAGGTGTGGTCGTGAGTGTGCTATCGATTAAACGCCCTAAAGCCACCCAGAAAGAGGCCCGGGAGAGACTACAATACTACCGCGCATTCTTGGCCGAATTAATAGAGATGATTCGAGTTGGCAGCTCCTCCGAACTCTAGCATCTTTCGACGTGATCCGATCGGGAGCATCGAAGCAAGAGATGCGAAATATGATTACAAACTGCTTGAACAGGGGTTAGAAGCCAGATCCAGATGATCACCTCAGTGGACCCATCGGGATGGATTCGACAGGGCGGGGCTGCCAAGTTGGATTCTGCACAAGTCACCTCTCCTTAGTATGGAATTTCGTATATAGAAAGGGAATCAGCCACACTCGTCCCCTGGTTGCGGTAAACACCACCCAGCCAGTGGCCTCGTCAATCTTGCCTGGGCGAAGCTGCTTTCGAACCAAATCAGATACATTTACCATTGAGGGAACAATATGATTCAGCCAACAGAGTAACATCAGCAATGTCGAACAGTCGATATTATACAATTCCATCGCCTTTTACCACCGCGTGCATCTCCTGATATTCTTTGTATGCTATTGTCTGTGTCCGTGGCCAACTCGGAAGTTCTCCCCGTGTCGCTGATACGATCTTGCATCATGTCAGCGATTTCGCTCAAGCAGGATCAAATCTCCGTCATTGTATATTTGACAATTCCTTTCACGTTTCCGTCTCGAGTGAGACATGGAAAACAAAGATGCGTGATCTATTGTCTGTGGTCGCCATCGCCGTCAGTTTCGTTTCTGCTTATCCTGCGTGGTGAGGAACCCACCAAGATTGTCAATCTGGCATGCTTGCTCGAATGCTTTGACGTGAAACATTTCCGTAGCCACGATCCGATCGGGCTTTGACAGTAGAATCTCGGGAACCTTTTTAAAAGCAGCTTCCAAATCCTTCATCGGGTACGCCTCGTGGAAGATCTTTGCAAGGAGAGTAGCCAGGCAGTGTATACTCAAATCAGCCATCCGCTCTATCCCCAGTGCTGATGTCAAGATCTTCGGTAACAGCATTGGGTTCAACGATAAAAATGCTCGTCGATAATACTCCATCCGGTCTGAATCATTTCCAATGAGGATCTTCTGCGGCTTTGTTGAGGCGACATGGACTTCCTCGAGCTGGAAGGCTCTTTGAAGGCTCAGGATCATCGATTGTAGTTGGTGTATTGAGATCCCGGCTTGAAAAAGCGGCGATTTTTTTAGTTGGAAAGCCATCGTGGAAAGAAATTCTTCGCCACATACCCAGATCTCCTTGGACTCATATCCGTCCATGTCGGTGGCTTGGATTCCCATAAAGGCGTGGCAAATCAGCGCGACACTTGCTTTGGTCCCAAAAGGCCGGTATGGAGGAAGTGGTCGCTGATAGCATGTGTGAAGGAAGCTTGAATGACACGATGCATGTTGTCCTAGAATGAACTGGATGTACCTGATCTGGAGCTCCAAATCTTCCAGAGACATGCTGTGTAGGGCTTCAGATCGGGTTAAAGCCTCGCGTGCGGCGATGAACCATGACAGTAGTCCATCGTATTGTAAAACAAACCCTTTTTCCCAGTCGTTTCCGCTCCGATAGATGATACGCCACAATGCCCCTTCATCCCCGGGAAGCATCGTAGAAATGAAGAGGTAGCTCAGTACGAGCAGGAGTTGGTGAAGTGTATGCGGCTTCTTTTCCGCTGCCACAAAGTATGAAGTTGGGCCATGGATTTGGTATGATAATGGCAAGGTAGCCTGTTCAGTCGTCAGCTCTGTGTCCCAACACGCCTGTACCATAGGACACACTCTACCGGGAGGGGCATTTCAAAGTATGCTTTCGCCCAACAAAGTTTTGATTGGCACAAGGCGTTCTCGGATAGGGTCGTAGAAGGGAGGCAGTCATTGGCGGTTGTGTGGAGGACATTGTTCATTTTCCCATAGGTCCCGTTGAAGGTGCGTTCTTCTGTTAATATCTCATGGAATTTAGTGCCCTGCACGAAGGATGCTTGATGGACGTAGGGGGCTTGTTCTTCTTCTCGATGCTGGATGGCGGGTTGACCGCAATCTTGTAGGATTGTTGTCCCATTGTTGGGCGACTCTTGGGGTTGCATCTGATGACATTCCAAGGTGGATTTGCACTGGTCCCGTCGCTTGGATCGTCGTAGCTGCGAATTATCACGGTCTGGAGGACTCGTGTCTTCATAAACACAGGACTCGGATTTACCGTGGGCAACGCAAGACTGGCAAGAAGGCACTTCGCGACTGCATCGTTCTTTTGAAATACGGCACGGTAAACAGGATCGGCGGCGTGGAGGCATCGTGGACGGAGAGATTAAGTGAATTTAGTGAAACTGGTGGCGGTGGTAATCCCAAGGTGCGGGAACAACAAGTCAAGTAGACATGCAGAGTTCACTTAGCGACAATATGAGACAGGGATCACCTCTGCAATTGGCGGCCAAAGTGCCGTTGGTAGAGATTTATAGACAGATCTGGCAAGTTTGAGGATTTCCGATTTCGAGAGCGCCCAGGTAACCCTTTCGATATTGGATGAAATGAACATAGCCGAGGAGAGGATGCGAGTGCAGACGCATCACGAATTTATATTGCCTGTCAATGAGTTCGTGGTTCTTCTAACGGTGTTATGGATCCAAATTCCTCAATGGCTTAGATGGACATAGCTGTGCAAGATCCTAGACACGTATCAGCACATCCCTGGGAGTACTAATCATAGTTTCCGGGATCCCTCCATGACACCCCAGGAACACCACCGCGGGCCCTAGAAGCAAATGTACTGTACGCTAGGAGTCAAGGGGTTTGGCTCATAATTTGCTTTTGCTGTTTACCAGCGCTTCCGCCACTGTCTGCACTCATGCGGTTTGGTTTTGTCAGCAATGAATTGTTCCTCGTGATCGAGGGCTGGGCAGGAGGCTCAGGCAAGACGTCACTGAGGACCTGCTGTACGCAGAAGATCTCTTTGACGTTCAACTTTGCTAACGTGTTGAGCATTCAACGAGACCGACTAAGAAACCAACAAAGTGCGTCTCAGAAGGTCTAACAGACTTCGACGGTTGCAACGATGGGTTTAATGATGGTCGAATACTGCCAGTGCAGCTCAACGTTGATCATATTTGCAACTTTGCACCCGATACAAACTGTTCGCAACATCACCATGAACCCGCAGTGAGAAAGCTCCGCTGCATTCAAGATTAAGCCCTTGATGAGATGGAGTATATCCTCGTATGTTAGTTGTTCGCCCACCGCACCGAGTCATAGGCTGAAGATGCTTGGTCACCGTTCACCAATTTCAACGCTCATACCCACCGACGATGGCCGTCCGCGTATTGGAATTTGGACCGGTGTGTTTCGCAAAGTATTGGGCTGATCGTTGAGTCAGTGTTAAAACTTGAACAGAAAGGATAGGTAAACCCCGGAGCCCAAGCATCTTATCAATGACTGTTGAACAGCCACCTCAAAGTCCTAATATGGAACCCCCTCTGAATGCATGTTCATCTGTCAAACTTTTCTGAATGCTGCAGTCTCCACAGACCCAACATCACTAGTTCAATATAAGCTTAATTCTCACGGCGACCAACTAAAATTGACATTCCAACTGTGGCTCAAATAAGTGGAAGTTGACTTGAAACATTTTTCCAGCGGCCCTCGGATTTGGGCAGCTGCACTGATTATATTTCGACGGTTGCCATTCCCAATAGCAGGCGCGCTGGTGTCAAACAAAGCACGCGACAAGACATGCCGACAAGTCTATAAATGCTCCCTACTACGCATAGTCCTTTTGCTCTTTTAGCTCACTGCATGACTCTTCCAAGCCCGATGAACCTTTTTTCATTGGAGCCAGAAGCTCGGCCTCTGCCAAACGAGACTGGACTAGAAAGTTCAGACGCTACCAGCGGTCCCTAATAAGTTCTTCCCGATTAATCAACCTGTGGTTCTTCCCCTGGACTGACAAAGGCATAGCACGTCGTTGATTCATGTGAGTCGCGTAGTGCCTGTGACCACCCTGTGTGAGGTACTATATCCTCCTTCTCTTGACTGTCGGTCCCGTTCAAGTCTTGCGTTGTCCCGTGACTGTTCGAACTCAATGGCAAGATATCTGGGCTCCTCGACAATAATACTGATCACTGGGGATATCCGGGATGCCCAATCGATTTGAACCTTCGCTTGAGACATGCCCTCATTTTCGGTGCAAAACCGGGACCAGCCATGACGCAGGTATGTGCATAGTTCTCCGGTGTTAACCTTGAGGAATTTGGGCCTAGGACTGCATGTACATGGCCCGACAGACAAGCATGATGTGTGTTGGTCTGTCTGTTTGTTGGGGTCATTAAGGAAAGTCATGAATTTCTCCAGAGCACTGGCAGACCACTTCCAGCAACATGACAGCGAGCCTCAATATGACATCCCAAGCGTTTGATCACCACCGTGAAAGCTCGTGTCAAACCAAAGCTTCAAACTATCTTTGGGTGCCCGACCACTTGTGAACCTTGCGACCGGTTGAACGAGAGAATGTGGATGGAGATCGCCGTGATTTGTGAACAGTTTGAAACCATTCAAAACCCCATATGAAAGCCTACTACATGTAAACTGACTGACTGTAACTAGAGAAATCGAGAAAGGAATGCGGTTGTCTTCAATTCAGAGGCGTGGTCGTCCATCACAGAATTTGTTCGTAAGTTTCCTACTTGGCACCAGTGGGACCAATGGTGGATCGTGGATCCACCAGCGGGTTCCAAGCCTCCCATAAACGACAACAATGTGCCGACAAACCCTTCGGTGAGCAACTTCAAACCATCGATCGTTTTTCATATCGGTCGCAAGAGAAGGTGCCCGCGCCATGGTGACGAAATCATCACCACTACACATCACAACCCTGAGCTTCTGGCCACTGGAGACAACAGAGGGCAGGCCACCACCAACGAGCTGCCACAGCTCATCAACAACACCAAGCAACCCGAGTCATTGAATCCACGAAAGCACACCCCCTGGGAGACAACGTGATTACTACGCCTGAAAGCGGTCAAAGATGAAGTGAAATGGAAGTGCGAATGCTTGGGGCGCAGATTGACAGATTAGCTACGGCTTCTCCCCCGCGACCATGGGCCATCGTAGTCCCCACCTTCGCGAACCTCGGTCCGGTGAATCACCAGCGATTCGACAGAGACCACAACTGCGTTCGGATTAGCTCCCAACCCTCCTTCGTCGATCCCCGTAACAATGAAGTCAACGATGAAAATGCCTTCAGCTGGCGCCTCCCTTGCTACAGCAAATACGCACCTCCGAACCGGTCATCGAACGCGACCGCTATGCGGGCGTACAGGTGGCCTCCATTGGCACCACAAAGACTCCAGTATGGCATCCGTTTCGAATACTCAGGTCGGCTGAACTCGCATCAACACCGAGTCGTTACACGAATTGGGTATCAACACAGAAACGGTCAAACCACATTTTGGCATCGTCATTCACCGTACCCGAAGACGTTTGGCCTGGATGTTCAGGCGCAATCCATCAAGAGGATCAGCTACGAAAGCGAGCTGTCGCAGCGGGGCTTCCAACAAGAAGATTGGACATGGTTGGAAAGATGAATAAAGCACTGGGAATTCGGGTCCTGCCTGGTTGGACTCGGCCGATGCAAAAAGAATGGACTATGGAAATAGCCTCTTGTGGGCTAGGGGTACACTTGAACTCTTGAATACTATGATTAAGCGGAAGAGGTCCATCCCGTGGTTTGTGATCCGGGAAGCTGATGCAAGGAAACACTATGATGTGCAGATTTCGCCGTCAACATACAACTTCCATATTGCCCACCAGGCGTGGAGCCCGATGTCTTGACTGCAACAAGAAGGGCCCAACTGGTGACCGAATGTTTCTTCTCCCGCAAGCTCGACCCTGTCACAATGTTAAAGACGAACCTACGACATCTAGAACCGAACATGATGAAATCTAGCCAAAGATGAAAGCGCTCATCGCCGAGACTGGCTCAAGCATCCGAACATTGTGGAGATGGATGGATTCTTCGAGGACGACATCTACTATTTGACATGATCCCCACAGATTGCCACGGGTAGACCTCTTCGACTATATCAAGGTCAGGGCCAACATGGACGAGTCCGGATGTCGCGATATATTCAAGCAGGTCGTGAGCACGACCCACCACCTGCACACTAAGTCTCTGGTGGTGCACCGCGACATTAAGGATAAGATTGCGGTTCTTGATGAGGAATGGGGAATCAATTTGATCTACTTGGTAGTGCGGCGTATATCAAGAACGGCCGGTTTGATGTATTTATGGGCACGACCAGTAAGATTTTCTGTGTCGATACGTTCTTTCCCCAAATTCAGGTTGCGCTGACCACCCTCTATTTATAGAATATGCAGCCCCCGAGATCCTGCAGGGTGAGTTGTACCGGGGCAAGGAACAAGACATCTGGGCCCTGGGCATCCTGCTCTACGATTGTGTATGGAAGAACCCGTTCTATACCGTCGATGAGATCCTCGACCACCCGTGCCGCATTCCCTAATCCCCCTTCTCGGAAGCCTGCATTGACCTGATCGACAAGATGCCGGACTGCGACGTTGACTGCCGGCTCACATTCACCGAGGTGCTTGAGCATCCGTAAACCCACGCCGCCACGCTACGGGCCTATATAACATCATTCACATCCCCACAGACTTTATGCCAAGTCTCCTCTGTACCTACTCCTAGAAAGCCCCGGTCACTTCCCTCTGGTTAGTTCAAGGTTCGGGTTGGGGGATTGTACTGGAAATTAGTCGGGTATCCCATCATCCTCCGCTGTACCTCAGGCAGCTGGTAACCCAGGAACGACGGCTAATGGTGGGGCAGCTAACTGGTACGTGGGCCCGGATGGCAGTGCTGTGGCATCATCTGCATGTACTGTTTTTGTCGCTGCTGTTGCAAGTGATACTGTTGCGGGTTATGGTACTGCTGAAGGGGTGGTTCCTAGATGTACTGCATGTTCATCGCCAAAGGGAAGGGCACACCCTGTGTTATGCTTGCAGGGGTACCCTCGTACACGAGCATGGAGTTCATCTGAACGCTCTGCGGGTAGAAAGGCTGCTGTGCGAGGGGGTTCCGTTCTTGCGCATTGGGGATGGACACAGCGACGGGATCCTGGTGCTGGTAGGAATACTCCGAGTCTTCCGAGGCTGGTTGAGTCGAAGATCTCGGGGGGTGGAAGCGGTCTTGGTGTTTCGTGAGGGTGGCTTTGCGACAGAAGCTACAACAAGAAACGCGGCAATGTGAGTTGGTTGACATTTCTGGGTGGTAGGTTTCCAGAGCCGCTTTACCTTTGTCCGCAGGTCTTATCTTGGCAGACATACGGTCGCTTTCCCGTGTGGATTCTTCGATGGCGGGCGAGACTGGAGGACTGTGGTTGTTAGAGGATGTACCGGACCAAGATCCCGGTCGAGGCTCACATCTGAGAAGGCTTTCTGGCAGCCCTCATGGTCGCAGACATAAGGCTTTTCGCCAGTATGAATCCGCAAGTGTACAGTCAAAGCGCTGCGCTGAATGAAGCTTTTGTTGCAGTCCTCCACATTGCAATAATAGGGCCGCTCATTAGTGTGTATCCGATAATGACGGCAGAGATCAGACTTGCGATGGAAAGACTGGGTGAGGGATCGGATTAGAAGGGAGAAGGAAGGCGGAAAGTTGGTTCATGAGCAAAACAAAGAAACACATGCCTTGTCACAGTGCTCCCACGAGCAGGTGAAATCGCGCTTCCTAGCAGAGACCATGACTGCAAACTGGGTAGTCGAACGCCGAGTTCAAGCTGCGGAGAAATTGGGGTCGCGGACCAAAGCGCAATACACAAGGAGAGGGTGTGTAGATAAGAACGTCAGAAGTAAAGGGTACCGAACAAGGGAAAGTGTGCAGATCGGCCAACGCGATGCGACGGAAATAATTTGTTGACGGTCGGTCCCTGCCTGTTCATCGAGCTAAAGACTACCGAATATAACTGCTTGACACAAGTTGTCTACTTGACTGTTCGTCGCCTTGAAGCGACCGGTCGTCTCTGTATTCATGAGAACGACTGTATCCAACCAGACTGTACGACAGGGTAGTGGCGAACTACCCGCGGTTGAATTGAACGGTCGTATCGTGAGCGACGCGAGGAAGCAAAAATGGCGGGACGGGCCGAGACGCGAACCCCTGAGCCGCCCGACCGCGACGAACGCGAAGATTCACCTCCACGATTGGCGAGGTCGAGACGCACTACAAGGCGACCAAATAACTATGCTCGAGAGAAGGAAATCGACAACGACCAGAGAACGACACGCTCTCAGCTGAGGAAGAAAACGCAAGACAAGCCAACAGCTCAACGTGACGCGGTCACTTCGGACGACTCCGCTACGGAGAGCGAGGACCTCAACACCGCCACACTCGTGAAAGAGCTCGTTAAACTCAGGCGAGAGATCAGGCGACGCGATGAATTGCACAAGGAAGAGCTTCAGAAGGTTAAAGAAGAATTCAGCGCCGCCCTTGCCGAAGTCCGACATGAGCTACAGACCCTGACGGATAGACCCCTGACAACGCAATCCCACGCCGAGGCACGCGCTCAGAACAACCACGATGAGGTCCTCCGCGAGATTCAATCCCTACGCGATGCCATCAGCCCTTCCGTTCCTACTGGCTCCCCTTCCTATGCAGATGTTGCCCGCACTCCTCCGACTAGTCACCCGAGTAACATACGGACTCTCTCATCGTGGAACACGAGGCCTACTACCTTCACCGACACGTTATATTGCACTATAGACACCTCGAAGATGGCAGACTCGGATAACGAGAGGATCTCCGTAGGCCCAATCAGGGCGGCGGTTGAGACAGAGATCCGGACGATGGAAAACCACACGCACTGGCGCTGCCGAGCTGTCACAGTGGACCCGAAGAATATAAACCGAATTAGGATAGCGTGCCGCGATGAAGCTGAACACCAGCTGGTCAAGAAAGTGGCGGAAGCGAAGATCGGCGCAGGAGCCCGGGTGCTTCGTGACGAGCTTTACCCGATCAAAGTCGACAGCGTTAATAGGGCTGCAGTACTAGACGAAAACGATGAGATCCGGACGGGAGCTATGGCAGCCCTCAGCGAGGAAAATGAAACCACTGTTGCTAAGATCGTATGGCTCAGCAAAAAGGAGAGCGCGAAGGCCTATGGATTAATGGTCGTATACCTTACCAAAGGCTCTGATGCAAGGAGGCTCCTGGCCGATGGATTCTTTCACGCTGGGGGGGGAATCTGGCGTGACTAGCGTCTTTGAATATCGACCACGACCGACATAATGCTATAATTGCTAGGAGATTGGCTATAAGGCTTTCTAATGCAAGAACGCCCAGAAGTGTGCAAAATGTGCCACGGAAGGCTATCGTTATAGTAACTGTGATAGCTCGATCTTTAAATGCGTTCTGTGCGGAGGCCCACACGAATCGTATAGCAAAAACTGTCAGAAGCTCTATCTATCACATCATGAATAAAACTCTTCGAGTAATTCAACTAAACGTGAGGAAACAGGGTGCAGTTCTCGAGAGCTTAATGAATGACGAAGAGACTAAGAACGCGGTGGTGTTAGCGATTCAAGAACCCTAAGCGAGGAGGATTTAAGGCCGGCTCTTGACTACCCTGATGGGACATCACAAATGGACAAAGATAGTTCCCTCTACCTGGAGGGAAGGCAGGTAGGCGATCCGAAGTATGCTTTGGATTAATAGGGATGTGGAAGCGGAGCAACTGTCGATCGAGTCGCCGGATCTGACCGCGGCGGTTATCCGCCTCCCCGAGCGCCTGATATTTATGGTATTAGTCTACGTGGAGGGAGGGGATGCCGCGGCATTGCTCGAAACATGCGATCACCTACGCAAAGCGATCACAGAGATACGGCGGGACACAGGCATAGCGTTGGAGATTATAATCGTGGGAGATTTTAACCGCTATGATCAACTCTAGGGAGGAGACGATGTTTCTTTGGTAAGATAAGGTGAAGCGGACCTAATTATCGACTTTATGAATGAATTTGCACTCAGCAGTCTACTCAAACGAGGCACAAAGACATAGCATAGCGCAGGACAGAATGGGGATTGCGAGTCCACGATCGACCTCGTCCTGGCCTCGGAAAACCTAACAGACTCAATAGTTAAGTGTGCTATACTTAGGACAGAGCACGGGTCGGATTACTGCACCGTTGAGACAGTATTCGATGCCTTATGGTCGCCCCCAAAACACCCGGAACGACTCCTGCTCAAAAACGCTCTATGGAAAGAGATTAATGTTAGGATTGCGAACACCCTAGCCGCCACTCCGCTGGAGGGCACCGTGCAGCAGAAAACCGATCGACTTATATCCGCGGTCTGGGAAGCGGTGTATGCCTTGACCCCGAAGGCCAGGCCGTTACCACACGCAAAGCGATAGTGGACGGACGACTTGACATAGCTCCGTCAAATATATATATACTGGAGGAATCACGCCCGCTCGGAGCGACGGGCGGGGCGAAAGGTACCCTGTCTAGAAGAGATGGCCTAAGGCACAGCGAAGTAATACCACGATGCTATCCGGTAATAAAAGAAAAAGCACTGGAATGAATTCCTCGCAGACAACGATAATATATAGAAAGCCGCTAAATACCTGAAGTCAGGAGACGACGCAGCGTTTAGAAAGGTCCCGCAGCTCCTGAAAGCAGACGGAACGACCACTACTGATCACAAGGGGCAAGCAGAAGAATTGCTGACTATATTCTTCCCGCCTCTGCCGGAGATTATTGACGGTGAAGGGACGAGACTAGAAAGAGCACTAGTAGATATGCTAGCGATCACGATAGAAGAGGTAGAGCGGTAACTGTTAGCGGCGAAGTCTTAGAAAGCGCCTGGCGAAGACGGCCTGCCGGTGATAGTCTGGAAGATAACGTGGCCCACGGTCAAGGACAGGGTTCTCGATCTGTTCTAAGCCTCGCTGGAAGGAGGCACGTTGCTAAGGCAGTGGAGACACGCTAAGATTATACCGCTCAAAAAGCCGAATAAAGAGAACTATAACATTGCTAAAGCATAGAGACTAATTTCGCTCCTTGCGACGCTAGGCAAGATATTGGAGTCAGTGGTTGTAGAACGGGTCTTACACGCGCTGGAGACGTACGGCTTGCTCCCGACCAGCCACTTCGGAGCCCGAAAGCAGCGGTCTGCGGAGCAAGTACTCGTGTTTCTGTAAGAGCAAATCTACACGGCGTGGCGCGGCCGACGGGTATTGAGCTTGATCAGCTTCGATGTTAAAGGAGCCTATAATAGAGTGTGCAAAGAACGATTGCTTCAGAGGATAAAAGCGCGAGGTATACCGGAGGATCTGCTCCGGTGGGTTGAGGCGTTCTGCTCGGAACGAACAGCGACCATCCAAATCAATAGGCAATTGTCTGAAGTCTAAAGCCTGCTATAGGCTGGGCTGCTGCAGGGCTCGCCGCTATCCCCGATTTTGTTCCTCTTCTTTAACGCAGACCTCGTTCAACGACAGATCGATAGCTAAGGAGGAGTAATCGCGTTCGTGGACGATTTTACCGCGTAGGTGACCGGACCAACGGCGCAGAGCAATCAGGAAGGTATTGAAGCAATTATCGCTGAAGCGCTCGACTAGGAGGAAAGGAGTGGAGCGACTTTTGAGGCAGACAAAACAGCTATTATACACTTCGCTCCTAAAGTTCACAAAACAGACTAGGAGCCTTTCACTATCAAGGGACAGACTGTTATACCTAGAGATCATATCAAGATCCTGGGCGTTCTCATAGACACAAGACTTAAGTACAAGGAACATATCACGAGGGCGGCATCTAAAGGCCTGGAGGCAGCGATAGAGCTTCGGCGACTTCGCGGCCTAACACCAGCAACCGCACGACAGCTGTTCACATCGACAGTGGCTCTAGTGGTAGACTATGCTTCTAGTGTCTGGATGCACGCCTGTAAGCACAAGGCTAGCGGGCCGATCAATCGAGTCCAAAGGGTAGGAGCGCAAGCAATTGTCGGGATATTTCTTACCGTTGCGACCAGCGTAGCGGAGGCCGAGGCTTATATTGCCACCGCACAACACCGTTTTTGGAGACGGGCCGTCAAAATATGGACGGATATATATACCCTTCCAGAAACCCACCCGCTCCGTAGGAGCACAGCCTGCATAAAGAAGTTCAGGAGATACCACCGTTCGCCACTGTACTAGGTAGCGGACGCGCTGAAAAACATTGAGATAGAAACTCTGGAAACCATCAATCCGTTCGTGTTAGCACCGTAGGAAACTCGCATACAGAGCGATGTTAAAGCAATGCCGCACTCGCACACCGTACCGGGCGGATCATTGCAAGTTGCGGTCAGCAGTTCAGCACGAAACGGCCTCGTAGGTTTTAGGGTGGCGATCAAGAAACAGCCACCTCGATATCGGAAGCTGAAACTGAAGACCTTCTCTACGACACTAGGCCTAAG